GCCTATTACCGAGTCAGTTTGCTGACTTTATGATTCTTCTGTACCTGTATTGTGTGTGTTAGGATTGAATGCAAAGTGGAATCCTGCTAAAACTGAAGAAGTTGAAGAAGCTGTTGTGTTAGGATACACTGCGGGGGTTTGGACTTTAGCCCTATTAAATAATACTAATAGTATATTATTGGACATTCGGATAAAATTAGCTGTTTATAGTTTATACTGCCCACGTGTAAGAGTAAATCACAACACCCATGTCTCTCCATGTACGACTCTGCATCTTAATCCTTACTTCAAAGTTGTTCGCCTTTATTAAGACTGAGGTTCCTCGCTGTGCATTCAGCATTTTCAGGGGCAACCCTCTTTTAAATCTTCCTGACTCCGACTCTGGGATATAATCTCCCTTTTAAAAATTCATCATGATGACATTATTACGGCCGTCGCTGTAGAGTTTTAGTGAGTGATGGCCTGGTTTCTGTCCTATCCAATAAAAACATTCATTGTACAGCTTTACCTTACAATATAGAGTATCCACTTTCATTTAGAGGAAAATAGATATAGTTGTATTTGAAAAAAAAAAAAACCTCTGTCCAAACGAGTAGAACTGACGTGTGGTACATGCATTTTTAATAGCCAGTCACATTTCCTACACTGCATGTTCCAAAAATAAAATATACTTTTTTTTATTCAGCTCTCCTTACTCTACAAATGCATCTCCAGGATAATCAGTGAACTCTATTTCAATTAATTTTTCTTCATTTAAACATTGTAGAGAACTAGAGACAAACAAATACATAAAGTTTTTATACAACAGCTTTCCATGTATTGTTCTGTAAAGCCTACATGTTGTTACTTACACACGGGCAGAAATATTCATGGCAAGAGGGTGGCATGGAGACTTTAACGGGTGGCAGAAATACATGCTGAGTATATCGCACACAATAATATATTTGCTTGAAAAGGAAATTAAGGGGGGTTCATTTTAACTGAAAAATATTACATTATTGTGGCAAATTAGTAAAGCATTGAATGGAAATATCGAAAGGTGACATTAGACATCTATAATTTGTTTTATTTCTAAATCTTCAGATATGCTTTTTTACATTGAAGTATAAAATGTGGCCATAACATATCATTATATTTATTTCCGCTTTGTAACATATTATTTTTGAAAAATAGCATTTCACATCAAGCTGGGGTGGCCAGGCATTTTTATTGCTTTCATGCCACATCTCTAGATCTACCCTTGCTTACACATATTATATATTGATTTAACTGTTCCTACTGTTGAATAATTCCTCATTAGATACCATACAACACTGCTGTTGTCAAAGGGGATACAATATCCAATGCCACTTCTTTCCAAAACAAGTGTCTACAATAATCTTCTAATAATGATGTCTTCTATGGGCCTCATTAAAAAGTTACACTTTGTATTGCTCTAATTATTCCCTGTTAGTTCAGAACTGCAGTTTGAGGTTTATACTAATTGCCTTGACTGACAATATGTATGGGGTCAGTTTTGATTCAGAGTGAAACAGCATGCTACAGTATGTGCACCACCACACACAAGCATGTGGGCACACACAAGGCTCAGAGCCATGCTCAAAACACAAAGGATGGATATGAATATGCAGATTTAGTTTTTCATCGGTGTGGCAATCTGTCACTCATGGCTTGCACTAAGCCATTTGCATCAGTGCAGATGGGTTTGTACATACTGTGTGTGTGTGTGTGTGTGTGTGTGTGTGTGTGTGTGTGTGTGTGTGTGTGTGTGTGTGTGTGTGTGTGTGTGATGGCACCACCTGTCATAGAGGATATACATGACAGAAATGGATCTGGCTCATATTTTATAGGTTAGGAGAGCACATTGAGGTTTAATGGGACATTGAGTAAAATATTTACAACCCTGTAGCACAATGATGCTAGAGCTCCTGATCAGCACATTTCTGATTTTGATTTTGTGTCTGGATACAACAAAAAATTATAACATATGCAAATACAACTAGGTCACGCTGTTTCCTGATCCTGAATGCCATTTTAATAACCTGTGTTTAACGTTTAGAGGTTAATAAATTCAGTTGATGTCAATGTAAAAAATGATGTTCCATGGCTATTTTTACATTCAAACTCTCTCCAAGGAAACAAGAAAACAGCAAGACTTAGCTTTTGTTTGACAGGTCTGTTTGTTTTCTCAAACTAGTTAGTCTCAGGGCTGTGGGCTGTGAGATTGACCATATAAAGCTTTGTTTCAAACTGTGTATTGTGCTGTTAGAAACAAACTGTACACCAAATAAAACTGATAACCATCCTATTGAATGAAGAGAGGAGGCTGTACAGCGGCCTGTTTACTCTCTCACTTATCTTCCCTTCTGTCTACTCATTCCATTATTAGTTTTTCTTGTGTGTGTGTGTGTGTGTGTGTGTGTGTGTGTGTGTGTGTGTGTGTGTGTGTGTGTGTCCATGTGTATGTGTTTCTGTGTGGGCAGCAGGAAGGAAGGAGATGAAGAGACAAGATAGGAGATGGGCCATAATAGTTTGAAAAGTTTTTGATTATTTTGGACTAGCAAGAAAAAACTGTGAGACCTGTTTTCATCCTTCCTCCATTGTTGGCTTCAATTTTGTGGTCATCTTAAAGCCAGGGTGTAGTGTCCATGTTTTCAATTGGAAATTACATCTAACTGGCATCAAAGCAGTGGAAAATGCAGCCACGAAGGCGACAGAGGGGAGGAGGAGATGCAAGGTGTGTCCATTAGAAGGGTTGTGACTGTAGTATGGTCGTATAATAAGCTAGTGTCGAAACTGGAAAAAAAAAGCTTGCTGCACACACGTATAGATACCCGTTTGTGCGTGTGTGCATGTGTGAACAGGCACTACCTGTCAGTAAAAGGAGTTTCAACAAGCCACGAGAGACACACAGCTGAGCCCTGCCGTCCAGAGCCAAAGACCATAGCTAAGTTGAACAGACAGATTACTGTTTTGTACCGGAAAGAAGCACATCTTTTTTGCGTGTGTCTTTGACATTCCCACAGTAGCCTCCCTTTAATACAACAACCACTAGCCCTATTAAATATCCCCTGATCTGTGGCCATGGCATTTACTTCTCCCTCTCCATCCTTCCCTTCATCCCCTCTGCCAAACAACGCTCATAGGGACGACTGCCCTTTCATCAAGGGAGAGTGCATCTGTGCTAATGTGTATTTATGTGTATCTTCTTGCCATAATCGAGTGCTGAATATCCTAATTTGAAAAATGCACACACAAAAAAAATATTGCAAACAGGCTTCAAAGACAGGATTATTGCTAAGAGCCTTGAGAGGGAGTTAATGTCACTCTGTACACCCACGACAGCCCTGGCTGCCGGTTTGTGTGTGAATGCACAGCACACATTTGTGTGCAGACATTAAACTTGTACATACTCTCACAGTAAATGCATAAGTAGCATATGTAGCATCTCAAAAGAGCATTCTTGGTTTGGTTTGAAAATGCATGTAAAGGATATAAGTGTATGTATGTATGTATGTAACTGTGTGTCTACAACTATGTGCAGATTTATTTTATTTTACTCTCTTGTGTGTCTGTAGTTTCTGAATGCTTTCATTGTACATCAAGAAATCTGAGATTCCACTTGCCATCATCCTTGTGTGTAACTTTGCCCCTTGGCATTAAGCACAAAACACACTACACAGCATGCTGCCAAGTGCTGCCACAGTGACTTTGTACTTACATGTACTCATTTTGAATTTCAGAACAAAGGGTAAAACTTTTACCGATTTTTCTTTCATTCTGCCTTCCCCCTTTGTTGTTTGATTTGACCTTACCTCATAAAATCAGTCCCCAGTCTGGTAGAGTTGTTGCTGCACTGTAAAAAAGTACCCAATTTAAGAAATTATTTAGACTAGTCAGTACTAATGTTTCAGGATGTTCCCTGAATCATTTATTTTCTTGATGCAAAATGAATTTATTTGGGTTTTTCCATCTTGCTTTAAGATCCTGCCCTCATGCTTGAACATTTCTGACTCAGATCAGAAACATGTAAATTCATCCAAAACCACAGGCATGTGTTGCCACTTGTTTTGAGAAAACACAGATTGGAAGATGGAATATGAGCCAAACAACTTAACAGTTTTTTGCAGGGTTCAGTGGCTGCCACTGAGCTGCTGCCAGGGTCCTCATTTACCGCTGTTTATCACCAGCCCGCTAACATCACGTCCCGTGAGACGATAAATGGCTGGACTCCAAAGAAATCCAGCACATGAATCACCTTGTTAATGACAGAACAACACCGATTGCACATGGTCACATGAAGCTGCATGCTGCGTGCGTTCGTCCTCCATCACATATGCCGCTGCCCTCTCTGACAAGTGTAAATTGCGTCTGCAGTTATCTCGAGCACTGTTTTTGTGTTGTTGTTGTAGTGCTCACGGCAGACACTTGCCTTTGCATTACTGGGGGCCTTGTTAAGGCTGCCATGACTGCTTTCTGATGTGCTAAGAGCCTTGTTGGCTGTGTCATGGTGCTCTTAGTAAAGTGCTGTTGATCACACCAGCTAAACTTGACAGGCCAATTCCTCTGGGAGGGAAAGAAGGAGAAAAAGCGTCGGGAAAGGAAAAGAGAGAAACAAGAGAGAGCTAAAGAGACGGAGACATATAGAAAGGCAGGTAGAGAGAGAGAGAGAGGAGAAACCCAAACACTATGATAAGCACAAATGGAGAAAAATGAAGTGTGCAGACTACAGCAAGTGCCGCACATTCAGAGGTAAGTAGGAACACACGCACTGACGTAATGGCATGCAAATAATCACATCTGTGTTTCTGTGAGCATAAAAAGAAAACACACAGCTCCATCATTGTGCACATTCTGTACAATACAGCCAGGCTTGCACGCTGACACACGTAAAAACTTTGGTAATCCCACACAAATAATTGCACCTGCGTTTCTGGAAGTCTAAACACTGCAGACCCGACTAAAATCAGTGCATACGTGTTTATGAGATGAAGGCCCACCTTGCCAGCCAGGTTTGCAGACAGGCTTGACGTCAATGCGGACAGGGACACTGTGCAAGGCCCTCTTCTGGCCGCAGTCCCAGGCCGTCACCTGGATCTCGTACTGCTGCTGGCGGTCGTAGCTCAGCTTCTCTGTGTTCCGGATGTTACCTTGTGTGGAGAAAAGAGTCGCTCAAAGTCAAATTTAACCCAAAGTGGCTTTTTAAAGCAATCTCATTATAATGTGTCATGGAGTAAATTAACTTCCCTTATCGTGTCTCATGATGAACTCATTTTGCGCTGAGCTGTTTGGCACACTGACAGCCACAGATTGCAGTGTTTGAAGTTTTAAAACTCCAAAAGTTAAAATCAGCTAACATGACATCAATAAACAAACTAGTCTTCTTATTGTGTGGTTGGGGTAGGAGTGGTGGTGTCATTGATGTGTCAAAGAGGGACTAAACGGTGCTTTTTATTTATTTATTTATTAGTCTTTTACCAGGAATATTCCCATAGAGATTCAAAATCTCTTTTTGAGTTTCAATGGCCGTCTCCCTCCCTCTCTGTCTTTCTAACTACAAATACATAGAACTACTTGAAGCAAATGAAATGCATCATTAAAGATTAAACTTAAGTCAATTGGAAATACATACAGTACAAGGGAATGTGATGCTCCAGAGAGGCCAGCCCACACGCACACTAACACACACAGACACACACAATCGCACCAGATAGAATGACAGCAAATCATCTCTGCCAGCTGTAATCTTGTTTACGTTGGCCACAAGGACCTAATCAGCTCACTGACAAGAAAAAAAGAATAACACCAGAAACTATGATTTCTGCAACTGAATTCCATTGAGCCACTGAAGGAAGACACGGAATATTTTATCCATCAGTCCGAATTATTCATCAAAACAACAAAATTACACTCTTCAGAGCCCACTTTGTTTAATAGTTCATTAGGTACATTGAACACACTACTTTATATAATCACTAACTGCATTAAATACATGAATAAATAATCTGCCTTCATGGCCAACTCTAGATTCAGTTAAAGCGGCACTATATGTACATATGAATTAGGCATCAGAGGATGAAGATGTAGTTGGTCAACTGGAACAAAGAATGTTTTATAATTATTCTACAACTAATCTATATATCATTTATTCACCTGTCAAACCAGGCCCATCAATTTGGTGAATTTCAACATTAAGCTTTAATATGTCATCTGATGTAGCGCTGAGTTTAAAATCTCTTTTCCTTCAGTCTGGATTAAAGTTGTTACTTTCTCTTGTTAACTTTCTTCACAGACGTTTATGTACAGTGGAATAAGTGAAGTGGTTCGGGAACTTCATATAAAATGTATAAAGTACAATGTTTTTGTGAAACATTTTATTCTGTAATAAATACCACAAACCCAGATCTGTAACTGAGGGATAGTCTGGAGATTCTCAGTCATCAGAGATTTGGAGACTGACTTTATTGAGTCATAAAACGGCTGTGTGAGCTTTTACAACTAAATGAGCTTTATTTTACTGTAGTCGTAAGCGTTGTGCAACAGTTATGTTTCCATATTCACAGCTACTCTCAACTTTCAAATGTATTCTTAATGGAGCTTTACTTTAGTCTGATGACTGAAAATAGTGCTTCTCTTCTGTTTACTGACTTATATGACTTAAGTTTAGAATAAACTGTAGAACATATAAAAGTATACACTTTAAACTGCCTTGAGGAAAGTGAGTAACAGCAGTCCCACTCAAGCATCCAATGCATATCCTTGTGTCTTTATGGCGTTTATGACTAGTTAGATAACACAGAATGTATGTGTATTGCAGCTAATCTGCTTATACACAGTGTGTGTGTGTGTGTGTGTGTGTGTGTGTGTGTGTGTGTGTGTGTGTGTGTGTGTGTGTGTGTGTGTGTGTGTGTGTGTGTGTGTGTGTGTGTGTGTACGTGTGTTTACTTAAAAGAGTAATGGATATTTAATTTTAATTTAAAAGCATGATTATATATCATTGTCAACTTAACTGTGATGCCTTAATATAATCACTGTAATAAATTAGATCATGGCTGGGATGACAGGTAGCCTCTATCTCTCTGAGTGCTTTGATTAGTGCTAATGTTTCCCAAAATTAAGACCTTGTGTCCATTAAGACCCTGTTGCTTGCATCACAATGACAATACTCGTACTTGTCCTTCCCTCACCTCTCCGTTACAAACACTATGGAGTTGTAGGAATGCGTGATAATACGTTGCATCCCTGCAAAGTGTAGGATCTGGTGTCAAAAAAATAAAAGTAAAAGTGAATTTTTTTTTAAAGCTGTATCTTGCAAGTCTGCCAATTTAATCGCAGAGCAATACTAAATTGCTGAAGTACCAATTCGATCCTCGCTGCATTCAATGTCTGTGTACCAGTGAGCCAGCATGCACAAGACCAGAGCCTTGCCTTTGTATCTGGAAAGCTATGAATGTCATCCGGTACAGTTATGTGAGGAGTCAAAATATCTTGTGCCACTGAACTTAAAGGGGAACTCCACCGATTTTACACAACAAAGTCTGTCTACAGACTACTGCATATGTGAAAAAAGTTTTATATAACCTTTTGTTGCTCCAGAGGAAGCTGTGTGAAATCTGATAAATTGCCTCAAGTCACTTGAGCCGGCGTCGGTTGGGGCTGAAGAAGTCTGAGAATAAAAAAACATCTTTGAGTGTGTAGCCTGCTCCTCATCTCTGCTTGAGACTAGTAACATTAGTCACTATTAGCATGACACACAATCTATGCTAGATCGATTTTGATGTCCATCGTGGCTTTGACACGGTTATAGGAGTGCAGTGATAAATCAGGGGAGTATTCTTTTTTTCTTTAAACTAATAAAACAGATAGTACAGACATGAACTTTATTTATTTTCCATGAAATATAATTATTTTATTCTTCCTCAGATAGACCTAGCATCTAAAACAAATCCTACCACTATGTTTCAATCATTAATTTAAATGTGCATAAAACAATTGTTGCAAGCCTTTAAAGGTCCAGCGTGTAGGATTTAGTGGCACAGCGCTATAGTTGCAGATCACAAAAAGAAACTACAGTGGCTGTGGAACACGTGAAGTATGCAAACATTTCTAGAACCAGTGCTTGGTTTGTACCTTCTGGGCTACTGTAGAAATATGGCAATTCAACACTCTATGGAAGGTGAAAGTAACAAAAACAAGTAATCTTATCATACAATAATTAACAGATCTATGAATATTATATTCCGTTACATGTTACATACTGGACCTTTAAATATGAACACTAGCCTGAATGTCTGGTTTACCATTGAATATTCTGTTGGTAGACACGATTCTTCTACTTTTAGGTTTGGTTCGTGGTATAAGTCATGAGTCATTGCTGCCAAAATCAAACTGCAAGTTTTTTTTGTTTTTTGTTTTTTGCCTGCCCACTTCCTGTATTATGCTATGGAAACAATCTGGCAGATTGGCCACCAAATTCAGCTAGGTATTACAGTACAGTCTGCCAGCTTTGTAAGAGCTAGCCATATATATAGCAATGCATCAACATTAATGTGGTAACTATTTTGTAATGTAATGCTGCACACAGCCCCTTAAAATAAACAAATAACCCACTCGTCTCTACAGTACAATCAGCATCCAGACAACATTCAGTGACTGAGAGTCTCCTGCCTTATTGGTAACCGCGACCCATTTACCAAGCCAGCGTCTTTCCTCATGAGCAGAGTGCATGAAGGGAGTTCTTGTGCTCCTAATGTGTCTGTTAATATTTGATGAGTCTTCCACTACAGAAGGATGGCAATGCTATGCACACAGCCAGGCCCTGGCAGGGAGGGCACACCCTCACTGAGAACACTTGCGTAATGTAAAGAGTTGAAACACAGCTGGAAAGAGCTATTGCGACTTATATTACGGCCCGGATGCTTCTTGAGGTTTTTGTATTGTGGGCAGAGAGGTGCAGAGGGACCTGAATGTTGATAATGTGGTATATTTGAATACGAGTATGTGAGTGGGAGGATTAGGTGTAATTCATATGAGGGTAGCATTGTTCGCCTTCCCGTCCTCCTCATCGCCCATTCCGTCTACCCCTTAGCTTGTTTAGAATTCCTTCCCTCCTCGTTCTCCCCTTTCCAACCTTCCCATTCCCTTTCAATGCACATCATTGTCTCACTGTTTTGCAGCCTCATCCCATTTCACTGTTTACTGCTTCATCGTCTCTTGTGCTGCCCTCTCTCTCTATTATTTTGTATGTATGCACACTTACACCTTTCTGCATGACGGAGGTTCCTATGCCCGCTCCTCCAATTACTTCATCAACTTATCCGTGTCAGCAGGCTGTGCGTGCTGTGACTGCTGGCAAGAGTGGCCAGCTAGTAAATGACTACTTTAGCCTCCATCTTTCTCTCTCCATTTGCCACTCTATCAAATGAGTATAAACACAAACAAAAGCGAACCATCTTTGCTTCTGTCTTCGTGAATTCCCGCTATCATCCCTTTATAATTACAATCCAATTTTACCACAGAACCACCTAATGCTGCTTAGCCCTCCTGGATTTGTTTAAAGGACAAGGACTGCATTATTCTGTGTTATTCTTATTGTCAACAGAAGACCAAAGCAAACAATGTAGTAGTTTGTCTCTTGATACGTGAATATATAGTTTAAAGGTTTAAAGTATGGTGGGGTAATGGCGTCTTGAGCAGAGAATGACGTCACACTCCCTTTGCCTGTGTTGTTATCCCAGCCTGTCAGTGATTTCTTTTACAAATCCGGTCTGGCCGCATGTTAGTGCATGTGAGTCCCTCGCTGTTTTTCTCATCTACGTCAGTAAATGAAGGATATATTTCAACCAAACCAGAACTGGTGGATTGTTGGAACAGTGGAAAGACTAATAAAGAGCCTTTACATGAGTTTTATATAGTTTCTGTCCACTTTGAATGAAGCAACAGCGATATTACAGCTGTTTCTGGTTAAACAAAAAGTCTATCTCTGTAGGAATGGACGCAATAGGACAGAATAACAATCTGTCAGTAAAATGAGCACTGTTAGTGGACATACTTTGACGGGTGTATTTGTCCCCCAGGATTAATGTTAGCTTAACAACATTTTCTCAAAAAAGTTTTTATTTTTTCAACCAAACCAACATTGGTGATTGTTTGAGGACAATGAAAAGACTAATAAATATGGTTTTGGTATGATTCATTTTGTTTCTGTCCAGTTTAAAGTGTGTTTTATGATTGTCTGCTAGTTAAAATGACGATTTTGTTTTGTCGATGGAGTTTGGTCGGCCCATTGTTTTGGTCTGAGATCCCGGTGCTCTAGTTTGACATCTAGTGGCAAATTAATTATAACCTTTAAACAGCTGGCCACTGTAGTTTTTAGCAAATGTTCTTCAACCAGGAGTAAATAGTGGAAACGTTTGGGAATATTTTCAGCCGCGAATTACTACACATTTGGTGAGCTACAGAATGTTTGTGGTAGCAGGACAGTGTTTGTGGGATTGAGTCAAAATAAACTACAGTGAGTGTGTGTTTTCATGGTAATAAAGGAACATGTCCGCCAATGCAACAGTGTGACTGATGAGTTTTTGATGAGACGACAGTGCGCCTTATGGCCCAGAGGAAAAAGATACAACACAGGAAATTGTTGGTAGAATCAATCGATTGTTTCTTTGGGCCTTATCATTGGATTTTTTGACAATGAGAAAAAGTAGGAAAGTATCACCACCAACTCTATCCCTTTTGTTTAGTTTATCTCCTCTACAGTTTTCTATCTCCTTCTCTCCCTGATCCTCTCATAGCACTTGCTCTCACAGCCAACCCCTCCTTCCCTCCCTCCATCTTCTTCCTCTCTCCCTCAGGTGCTCTTGAGTTCAAGGGCTCTCAAAGCCTTTTCCTCAGCGGTCAATGGCTAAGCGAGACCCCTTCAAATGGCAAGAGAGGAGAGAGAGCTCTCTGGCTGCAGCCTCCCCTCTGTATCATTCACAGTGCAGTTTGGCCCTAACCTCATCCACTCAGCCTTTTTATTGCAACACCTCAGCAGTGGGCTGCGCTCGGCATTCTGCAGCAACAAAAACCTAAACAGTAATGTCCTTGCATCTACAGAATGTCTCCTAAAAAAAGAAAATAAGAGTGTGAGCAGATTTTTTAGAAGAGCCACTAGAGACAGTTTTAATAGCTTCTCTGACACTGGTAAGAATCAAGACTTTTGGAGTTAAGTGCACACTTCAAGAATAAATTTTATCCTACTTGAATTTGTATATGCTACCCAGCAAAGGTGTTAAAACAAAAAAGTATGTAGTATTTCAAACTATGGACTATTTAACAATATAGATATAATATTAGCAGAGTTCTGTGTGTCCTCCGTCAAACTAGGAAGGTCATAAAGGTTAGTAGAGGACATAAAGATGCAGAAAATACCAAATATTTCTGACACACACACACACACACACACACACACACACAAACACACACAACCTGCCTGTCTCTGTGTGTGAGTAATAATGCATAATAATTATTAATGTTGATGTTAAGAGCCAAGTGCAAGTAGCAAAAAGCCGAGTCAGTTTGTGAGTGTCCATAGATTTTTCTTCGCAATTGTCTTTGTCAGTGTGTGTTTTTCATATTTGTGTGTGCACAGATTCCTGTGATCTGATTTGTGGAGACTGATGGCTCTCTGGGCAAAGCTTGACTTGTCCTTGGAAAGCGCAAAGAACACATTTTATCCTGGAGAGAGACATCTGTACTACAGTAGTAGTGTTAATAGTAATAATATTAGTATGAATTGTATAAATATTAATGGTATATGATAGTAAAAAAGTATTAAGTTTTTGTGTGTGTTTCTCATGTGGCTGTGGCTGTGTGTACATAAGTTACATTTTTAGATCACATGTGATAATGTGTTATGAAAAATATGTGTTTTTAGATCTTTTTAAAAATACAACAGAAAACAAAAAATGTCTAACCTGATTTGGAGGATGTTCTTGGACATGAGTGAAATAAGTGAGATGCTGTAGATGCACTAAACATCACACACTGTTGATTCTGTTTGGCAAGTTCCAAAACCTTGCCTCCCTGTGAATGCTACTCACCGTTGCGATCTATGGCGAAGGGTGTGTTGGTGGTGGTGATCTGGTAGTTACAGATCTGGCTGTATTGTGGGGAGCAGTCCTGGTCAGTGGCCTCCACCTGCAGGATGCTGTCGTAAATCTTGCCCTCTGTCACTGCGGCTCGGTACTGAGGCTCCCGAAACACTGGGGCAAACTCATTCACATCGTTGACCTGAATGTGCACCACCGCCCTGTAGACAGTAGGGGGCAACGGAGAGGAGGAAAGTGAAGATTAGTAAAGGTTAGTCTAGCATCCGCACACAGCATTGCTGTTTTCAAAACAGTGGATCGTTTTTCCTTGGCGCACAAGGAAAATAAGGAAGCATTTTATACATTCATTTAGTTAGATTCAACTTCACATAACACTAAAACAAACACATCATGATAAACTAAAATCCCTATTTCAACTGTTCTAGTGTATAGGATTAAGATGCCAGTTATTTCAGCTTTGCTAGAAGCTTTAGGAATGGCATTGTCAACCTGTCAGTTTGTTTGTCCACCACTTTTGTCCGGACTGAAATATCTCAACAACATGCCAACATTTTATACAGTTGTTCACATCCTCCAGAGAATGAATCCTATGACTTTGGTGATCCCTTGACATTTACTGTAGCGTCTCCATGAGATTGACATTTGTGGTTTTGAGAGAAGGATCTCAAAAACTACTTAATGGATTCCCATGACCTTGGGTACACACATTCATAACCCCCGCATGATACATTGTAATGATTTTGATTATCCCTTAACTTTTCCTCTAGCGCCGCCATCAGGTCAATATTTGAATTTGTCCAATACTTTTGTTTATGACCAAATACTTGCAAAACTATGACATTCCCATTAGCCTCAACTGTGCTTTGTGTTTATTGCAAATTAGCAAATGTGCGTATGCTAACACACTAAACCAAATTAGCTGTTAGCATACTAATGTTAACATTCAAAGAGAAAAGAGCAGTAGACTTTTGATCTTGTTCATAAATAGGGCATAAACACTAGTGCTAACTCCATCAATTGTACACATGATGTTTACTTTATTTGTCACAAGGAGTACTACTTAGCCTGTGAAAACAGTTGTACAATGTGTTGTGCAGGTCTGGAGAGAGCTTTCCAAAGTCAGAAAAATCAACCTTAATGATGTCATCAGGGCTAACTTGGGCTAGAGATTTGTTTGGGACCAAAAAGTCAGGACGTCTTGGCCTCTGATGCCTCCAATTTGACCATTCGTTTTTTAATTCAGTCTCTTGTGATTCCCCCAACTTTATGAAAGTACAACAATAAATCACTGAGGCATTCAAAACATTTTAAAATAAGCATTCACCACTGCATGCACAGTAATGAATTAAATCATGACTGCATTAACCCAGAATCACTACTTATGCTGCAACTGGCGGAGAAATAAAATTTAATTAAGGCTTGTTGTCTGTATTTTCAACATAGCATTTTGCTTCCACGAGAAAATGAAAGTGGGGGAGGGAGAAAAAAGAACAGTATTTGTGAAGCTTTAGAATTGGAAATGTGTGTATTTATAATGTGTGTATTATAATAATGTATGTTCCTAATCAAACCACAAAATAGTTTTTAAGGCGAAGTATGTCTTTGATGTCCATACAGGAGTTGAGTGCAACCGTCTCTGTCCCTGAAACTGGACTGGGTGCCTTGCTCGAAAAAGCAATTGTAGGAAGGAGGAGTAAGGTATCTTACTGCAGCGTCTCAGATGAGTTAAGCTTGGATGGTTGATGAATTAGTTTGGTAACCAATAGTCACACTGTGCATTGTGTAATACACTGTCTGACCTGACCCAATGGATTGCTTTGATTGTGTTGCTATGGCACAATAATCCCCTGGATCTCTTCATACCATAGTCATGCACACTATGCACAGTTCTTCAAGAGCTCTAAACTGCACTAATTAATCATTACATAAGTGATCTATCAGCAGTAATTCATGTTAAGTCACACATGATGGAAAAACCCCACCATTCATCACTTTACAACATCTTCATCAATACTCTCTAGTGGCCCGAAGGCAACATATTGAATAATCAATCCTTCGATTCATTGACAGACAACTGGTGATGGATGACCATTGGACAGAATAATAGAGTTTTAAGCTTCAAATGACAAACACAAAGTAATACTTTGCTTTAAAATACAAAAGGGCTGAGATAAATATGTGTTTTTTAGGATAAGCTGGTGGGTATGGAAATGACGGTGAAATGATCCTGTTAAAAGAAGCTGTAAATAGCTCTCCAACATGTGGTCTGCTGTAGATGGAGACTTGGACAACAAAGAGAGAGACAGTGGGGGGGGCGAGCCCAGACAGAATGGATTTCCTCACTGCCTTATCTTTCCTTTTCACAAGTACACAAACACACTGTAGGAGACCATTTGTTTTTCAGCTCCTCCACACAAACAGATACAGTTAAGTAATTTATTAGAAAATCAGAAACACACAAACAACTGAAGTAAAAATGCAAAAGGGACAAAGAAATGGGGAACAGGAAGTAGTAGTGGTAACTACGTATATTTACTAAAGTAATGCCAGGTACAATTTGAGTAAACTTGAGTATTTCCATTTAATGCTACTTTACTGTGTGAGAGTGATGGACTGTACTATTTAACCAGTACATTTATCTGACAACTATAATTGCTATTTACTTTAAAGATTAACATTTTAAATACAAAACATGATGAGCCTCTAAAATATGATGTATTATATGTAGATGAGACTAGCCAACCGTCCTATATTGCTTTAAAAAGTGATGGAACTGGAGATTAAACACAATGCTCCAAATACCCAAAGAGTTTGAGTCCTGTGATGGCCCTGTTAAAGGCATACTATGCAGTTTTCCGGTTTTGTCAAACAGCTTCCCCTAGAGTCGCTGCGGAGTACTTTTATTTAACGTTAACTGTCATAAATACCACTCACCAGAGCCGTCTCTATATACGGCTCTGCGTCTCTGCACTCACTGCCTGATCCCCTCCCCCCTGTATACCGGTACATGTTCAGTAGGATGGAAGCGTCGGACATCGAACAGGCAAAGATAGACTCCAAAGATGTCTACTGACCAGGTAACATCTTCCATTGACGCTGCTTCTTATGTCGCTGATGTATGTGATGTTGCGCCGTAAAGCAATTCATGATTCTCGCGAGATTAGACGGGGCGCCATCTTCAGACTTGCATTGCTGGTTCTGCCAGCAGTGTCACTCCCCAGCGTTGCTATCGGTATGATTCACTATACTACGAGTTTGTTTACCATCGAAATGACTTCAAAGCTGTTATATTAAGGTACAAATCTTGCATAGTGTGCCTTTAATGCAATAAGATATACTGCACCCTGTATTCCTACTCTTGTATTTTCAGTTCTCCTTCTTTACTAACACACAAATATATGTACAAACTAATTTCACCCTACATGCACTAATTTCTTCCTTTTACTTTTATTTTTTCATTAACCTCCTCATTCAGTGTAATTACTTGGATTTTTTTATGTTTTTATAACTGTAATTTAAGATGGCATCTTTATGGAGCCATGAAGTGGAGAAAAAGTAGCACAAAGTTCTCAAACAAGTCGAAAATAACTGAATGATTCAGTAAATTGTCATTGATTAAAATTAATTAAAATGGAGTGTAAAATAATGATACAATTTTTTTTAACATCCAATCAGTGAAAAAAAAGGAAAGTGCTTTTTAATCTTTTCCTTTACCACCAGTCATTTGTATAAAATAAATAAAAACTTAATTATTATTATTACTTTTAAATAAATAAACTTAATTTAATTCAAGAGTCCTTTTTGGTTTCTCTAGTTAATTTTTTAAGTCCTTAATTTTTCTTTTTTGTGTCTTAACATTTAATCATTTATCTGTTCCTTATTTTCTCTATGAAATATCTGCCATTTCCTCACCATATTTCAGATTTTGGTCATACTTATAAGTCAATGATGTGGATGTTTCCACGCATGGCAGAGCAAGAACCTGGGGGGCGGGGCCAGCGGGAAAAACACTACTGCGCATATTCAGCTAACACTAACATAGCATAACAGTAGCCCATTCATGTAAGCATGGATACAATTATGAATGCAGGACTTTTACCTATAATATATTTTAAATATATATTATTAAATAGTAAGGACCAAATATTCCACAATCAAATTTAAGGTTAGAAAAAAAAACATAATTGGGTATTATTTAGTTTAACAGTCAAAAACTCAACTAATCTGCTTTATCAGATTTGTTTCAGATGGATTTTCAGTGGCAACATAAACAAACAACTCACATAAGTCAATACATTTTGATTGATTGATGAATGTTGACAAAAAAAAAACAAGTGTGTGACATCACAGCTTTCAAACTATGCCCCGCTCACTTCAAACACTTGAGAAGAACACAGACAAAAACATCTTTACAGAAACTTCTAATGTGAAATAAACAAAACTCTTCTAACTTTGGGAGAAAACTGTATGTTTATGTAAGACCATTATTTATTTAGGAAGCTGCTTGAGAAGGTCCTTTAAAGGATCTGAAAAGTTCTTTGACAATGAATAATCAGTGGGCTCTAGGTTTAATGTGATGTTAACGGCAATGCTAACAGCAGTGAAGATGGTGATAAGAAGCATTGACAGATGATGGCAGCTCCAGTGTGTGCAGTAAATCCCTCTGCCAGCCTTGTTTTGTCATATTAATGACGCTCTCTCATAAACATTACCCCCCTGCTTCGCCACACTCCCATGTGGCGAGGGAGCAAACATATGTTCCACTCCTCTGGGGCTTGTATTGAGGGACTGCTGTGTGTGTGTGTGTGTGTGTGTGTGTGTGTGTGTGTGAGATTATGTATTCATGCACACAAATCCGTGATATATAACTAAATGCAATAATTGTGAATATGTCTCATTGTGAGTGTGCATGTGAGGGTGTGTTTCTCTGCTGATGGCTCACATCTGGCTGAAACAGACGCCTGGCTCTCTAGGGTTAGGATGCTTGTGTATGTGTCTATGTGTGTGTGTGTGTGTGTGTGTGTGTGTGTGTGTGTGTGTGTGTGTGTGTGTGTGTGTGATTGTGTGAGTTTTCATGTTGCTGGAACATTGCCAAGCTGAGCCCATGGCCACCATTCTTCCTTGTGACAGGCCTCAGCTAAGCAGAAATGCAAAATGCAAACTGACTGTCTGGAGGTAGAGCAGGTAGAATCAACATTGG